TATGTAATTTCTAATATCTTTAGCCTCACAGAACTGTTTTACTTTCATTGGTACCCTTTCAGACCTATCTGCTGCATAGCTTATGATTTCTTCTCCCTCAGTACCCTCTGTACCAAATTTTGGGGAGTTGTGAGTTTTTAGAGGCATTTTGTTGCTTATGTTTCTGGTTTATTTATTTGGTTCCCAAATTCTTTGGCCCAATGCCCATTCTTTGGGAGTGAGCCATAGTATTATGACCCCCATCCCTCAGCAATCCAGTTACTGGCATAGAAGTAAAACTAATTGCTGACCCCTACTATGTTATTTTGTCTGTAATAGTAAATTCAGTGAGAACAATGGCATCAACTGTCAATTGGATATTGACAAACCCTAGGAACCACTCATGAACAGCCCTTTACCAAAACAAAGAGGATTTTGATTTTAAGGAAGACAATTAGTCTCCCTTTATATTGATCTATAGTAATTTAGAGCACTGATTTCTGCTGGATGTTGACAGCAGTGTCAAGGCTCAAACACACCACTAGAATATATAACTTCTTCAGGACTGCTCTGATAATTATTGCCACTGAACCTGATATCCAGCAAGAGAATACAGACAGACTACTTGATCTTCCTGGTGTGAGCACAGGCCTCCCAAGTGGCAGATAGTCCTTATTTAGTTCCTACCATCTCCCAAACTATTTTTCATCTGGTGTCCATGGTATCAATTCAGTCCTGAAGGGAAACTCTTCCTGGGTGTTGGTGTCTTCAACCAAGTTGGTCTGTTTGTTGTCAACTCTGTTGCCCTGTGTTATGGAGGAACCAGGGTCTGGTGGTAGGGTACATAGTTCCTGGGTCCTCCTGGCATTAGTGTGGACCTGGTGCGCACTGTTGAGTGGGGGTGGGGTGCATGTTTCTTGGGTCCTCCTGGGTCTGGCACAGGGGTCCATTAGAGTGGGGTGGCATCCTAACTTGTTTCATGTATACTAGTGGTTTCTCTTACATCATTAAAAAGAACATTTTATGCTATTATCTATTTTTTCTTGGTAAGAGAGAATCTCTTTTATGTCTTATACTCTGAGTAACTACTTTGAAGATAATGATACACCATTTATTATTATTCACTTTTTCTGTTATGAAATTGTTTTATTTTTTCATAACATAATGTATGACAAATAGGCACTCAATAATGTTTGAGTAAACAAAAACCCAAAATTATAATGTTCTCCAAAAAGATTTACAAATACTGTTTTTTAATAAAATTTAAGACAAAGAGATAAAAGAGAATGTAACAAGAAAAATAAATATCTTAAAAGTAAATTTTCTTTATTGTAGGATGGGGGAGTTTGCCATATATCACTGATAACAGAATTTGGGTTTAAAAATTTAAATTATTCTAAGTTACATATGTACTACCTAATAATACACATTATTTACACCTACATGTATGCCACATGCTTTAAGAATAGGGGAAGGCCAGGAGAAGAATGAATTGTATCAGTACACCCCTATCCTCAGTTTAACTTAGTCTTAGATTAGATTAAGGTAATCAGTCCTTGGTTCTTTTGGTTTAACCAGAATAAAGGTAAATCCTCTGTAGGAATATAATACTACTGGATCCTCTATAAGGCTTTGAATTAAATGTACAAATTGAATCATATCACCAAAAGACAAGGGCATCAAGAGGTAATAGAATTAAGTTCATAAGTGGTCCAGGTATGAGGCATTGGTAAACAAAGAACACTGTGGTTTGTTAAATGTGTTTTTTATTTTTAGTTTCAAGGAACATATGCTCTGTAAAGTAATTCCAGAATTGAGATTCAGTCACATTTTCTCATATACCCTCCTTTATTTCTCTATTGGTTGTATTTTGCTTTTTGTATCTGCTTCAGTCTCCTTTTTACTTTGTTGCATCGTACAAGATCAATATACAAATATTTATTTCATTTCTCTAAGAAACAAACATATAGAGGAGCAACCATAAAATACAGCTTTTAAAACTGCATAAAAGTCTTTAATACCTAAAAATAAATTTAAAGAAAAATATTCAAGGTCTTTACATTAAAAAGTATGAAATATTATTAAGAAAAATTAAAGATTGAAATAGAAATATATATAGCATGTGAAAGATTTAGTGTTCTAAAGATGACAATTCTCCAGAAATTTATAGATTCAGTGCAAACCCAAAGTCATAACAATATTTTTTCATTCTTAAATGTCTTTAAAATTACTTTTTAAAGAGTTGGTTAAGGTTCACAGCAAAATTAAGCAGAAGGTACAGAGATTTATCACATGTACCGTGTACTTACACAAGTGTAGTTTTCACCCTTATCTACTTTTCATACAATATTGGTACATGTCAGTATTCACCCATGAGCACAGTTTACATTAGGTTTCCCTCTTAATGTTCTGCCTTCTATGGGTTTTAAAAAATATACAATGACACGTATCCATCATAGTAGTACATAAAGTATTTTCACTGACCTAAGACTCCTCTGCACTCTACCTATTCTTTCCTCTTTCTTCTCTATCCCCTGGCAATTACTGGTCTCTTTATTATATCTACTGTTTTGCCTTTCTAGACTGTCATATACTTAGAATCACATATCAGGTAGCCTTTCAGAAAGGCTTCTTTCATTAGTTATATGTATTTAGGGTTTCTTTATGTACTTTTATTGCTTAATATCTCATTTAATTTCAGTGTTGAATCCATTGTTGGATATACCACAGTTTACACATTCATTTACTGAAAGACAACTTCACTACTTCGAAGTTTGGGCTTTATGAATATGGCTGCAATAAACACCAATGTATAGGATTTTATGTGGACATAAGTTTTAAATTCCTTTAGGTAAATATAAAGGAGTGCAACTGCTGGGAAGTATGGTTAAGAGTATGTTTAGTTTTTAACACACTGTCAATTTCTGCATAATGAATTTGCAGCAGCAATGAATGCTAATTCCTGTTGTTCCACATTGTGACCATCATTTGATGTCAGTGTTCTAGAATTTTCTCACTCTAACAGATACATAGTAATATCTCCTTGTTGTCTTAATTTGGATTTCCATGATGTTACATGATGTGGAGCATCTTTTCATATGCTTGTCACTATGTACCTTTTTGAGTTTTCTGTATTTTTAAAAAATGTATTCATATACTATATATGAGATATTCCTAAAACATAAGACCTTGGAAAAGTTAAGAACAAATGTTATACTTAATAACTACTACTTAAAGGGGTATACCTAATGAATAAATGGAGCAGATATATTAGTATCAAATAAAATAAACTTTAGGGTAAAGAACATTACTAAAACTAAATACTACTGAATTAAAGATTCAGTTCATTTAACATAATTCTAAAGCTATTATGTATATAATGCAGTTTTTAGAAATATATAAAATGGATAAAACTAAAGAGAAATTGGTAAATCTACTATCACGGAGGAAAGCTTTAATCTATTGTTTTCTTAACTGAGCAAGCAAATCAAATGAATATAGCTTTGAATGAAATACATTTAAAAAACTTGAATCTGGAGACACATTTTGTACACTGAACTCAATAGCCAGAAAATGTTCATTTTCATCAAATTACATAGAACATTTCTTAAAATAGACATTAGGTAGTTAAATAAGGCTCAAAAAATGTCAAAGAATGCAATCATACATATAGATCACCTTCTCCGACCAAAATAAATTTAGAAGTACTTTGAAGAATTAAAATGCTCATTTGTACATAATATACAGGTCAAAAGAGAAACCTTAATTGAAACTAGAAAATATTGAAAACAATGAAAATTAAGATAGCTTTTTAGAACTTGTGGAGCATACCTACATGGGGCAATCTGCAATACCTTCTAAAAAAATTAGTGTATGTTTGCAATACATCATAGTTACACTTATTTTGGAGGATTACTATGTGGATTTAACATATCTTGTATATGCAAATATCATGTTCTCTTTGGTAAGGTGTCTGTTTAGGCTTACACTAGTGTTTTGTTTTATCTTTGTTTTTCTTAAATTGACAATTGATTCTAAAATGGAAATGCAAAGGATCAAGAATAACCAAGGTACTTCTGAAGAACAAAGCTAGAAGACTTATAGTACTAATAATCATGGCCTTTTACAAACCTTTTACAAACCTTCCAGTGCTAGTAGTCTAAGAATAGACATGTAGAGCCAGAGAAGCCAGAAACAAATACCACATGTATTATGGCCTCTTGATTTATGACAAAGTTGATACTGTACTAAAGAATAGGAAGAACAATCTTTAAAAATACATGTTGATGGGTCACTTGCAATGTCATTTGGCACATAGGTCATGTGCCAAAAACATTTTAAAAATTGTCTTATGAACAAATATTCTATACGCATTAAAGATCTAAGTGTAAAAGATAAAATACAGGAAATCTCTTCATGACTTTGATGAATGGGAAAAAAATTTAAAAATAGGATCCAAAATACAATAAACAATTTAAAAGCGGATAAACTGGAATATGTTGAAGTAAAATATCTATTAAGTGAGAGTATTTTAAGTGGTATTTAAAAAAGCAAAAAGGCAGAAGGAGGAAATGTTTAGAATATATACATGAAACAAAATATTTACAGTAGGAAGCTAGGTATGGTCACACAGGCTTGTAATCCCAGTACTTGGGAAGGTGAGAAAGGAGTATCATCAGTAGTTTGAGGCCAGCCTGTGCTACAAAATGGATTCAAGACAAACCTGAACTTCACAGCCAGAGCCTGTCTCAAAAAAAAAAAAAAAAAAAAAAAGAAGGTATTATAGGTGATGAACTCTGAAAAGTACCAGAAAAAAAGAGTAACAACTCAACAGAACAATGGGGAATGATTTTGAAAAGGCACTTCATGAATGATATATAAATTGCCAATAAACATTTTTTTTGTTTGTTTGTTTTTGGGTTTTTTTTGTTTGTTTGTTTTTTTGAGAGAGGGTCTCACTATGTAGTTGAGACTGACCTGGAACTCACTATGTAGCCCAGGCTGGTCTCAAACTCATAGTGATTCTCCTGCCTCAGCCGCCCAAGTGCTTGGATTATAGGCGTGCACCACCACGCCTATCCAATAAACATGTTAAAAAAGATAGTCAATTCATGAATTGTCAATGAAATACAGATTAAATCCAATCATTTGCTACACATTCACCCCTAGAATGAAAAAAAGTAGTGGTGGTGGTGGCTAGGGGATGGGGCATACACAAAGTAGTGGCAAGGATTAGGATGAAATGTAATTCTTATGTCCTGACAGAATACTGCTACAGTTACTCTTCAGCAGTCTCTAGAAGTATCTATAAAAATTGAATGTATGCATGCCCTGTAAGATCCGGTAGTTCAAATCTTAAGTATCAGACCTAAAAAAAAAAAAGTACATAAATTCACAAAGGACATATAGAATATTTACATAGCCCCAAATTAGAAAGAAACCAAATGTCCATCATGACAAAATGAATAAACAAAACTGGAAGATAATGGAATAATATATTTAACAGTATGGGCACATTTCACAAATGTAATATTAAGTTATATAAGATCACCCCACTGCCCACAAAAACCTAGTCAACTCTGTACTTTCTACAGTACATGCATTTATGAAAGTATACTTATTTGAAGAGAAGAATGCATAGTGCTCTTCCAAAATTGGGTAAAATTAATTTACAGTGTTACAAGGAAACATTCTGTATCTTTTTAAAACGTGGGACAAAGGAGCTCTTTGAGATGAAAAAAAAATTCAGTTTCATGATCTGAATCCAGTTAAATGAATACATTTATGCAAGTCACTTAAAATATGTACATTCCCCAAATTTATTTATACTTTAGCCCTGTTTAGTGAAAACTTACACATATTCCTATGATAAACAAACTTTAGCCTTTCCAAGGAAGTCCTGCAATGAGCTCATCTACTCATATGCTTTGTTGAAGCATATGCTTTGGGAAGAGACTTTATGATGATAGTTCAGTATATTGGAGAGGCTTCAGAAAATAAGGGAAAAGTAGGTAAGGGAAAAATAATTTTATCACTTGAATTGTTTGATCAACAAGAGATGTGTAAACTCAAAATACCTGTATCTGCTGGAAGACACTAACCCAAAGAAAACTAGAAATTCCTCCCATACCTCAATTGTCAAATATTTCTTTTTTATTTTCTTAGTAAAAGACCTTCCTAAACATTAAGGATTTGAACTCAACTGTTTCATAGGTAACAAGAAAAAAAAAAGACTATAGAGTCTATAAATCTTTAAAATACTATTTAAATCCTGTCCAAAGGTATTGCTTTTTTTTTTTTTTCCTCTTTGAGGTTACTGGTACATTTTAGGCATACAGTACAATTACATTCATCATTGGGATCTTTTACCTTTACAGGACCGGTCTTGGTTCTCATTTTTTCCCCCTTGTCCCTTCCCTCCTTTCACGCCCTCCTCCCTTCCCTATTTACAAATACTTTATTTCCATTTTTTCATTTTCTTATATTATTACCTTTCTCCTACCCTATCCACTTCCCCTACACATTTAGCCCTTTTCTTCCTATTTCACATTGCTAATTATATCATTAGGATCTTATGTACCATTATAGTTTTTCACACCAGGGAAACGATTCAGTACTTATATACATGTGACTTATTTATTTCACTTAGGAATATATCCTCAATATGTAATCATTTTCCTTTGAATGGCTAATTTCTCATTCTTTATGGCTGAGTACTATTCCGTTTTATAGAAAAACCACATCTTCTTTATCCAGTCTCCAACTGATGGGGAAATGGGCTGTTTCCAAGTTTTAGCTATTACATACTGTGCCGTTATAAACATAGGTGTGCATATATCACTGTGATATGATTCTTTTAATTCTTTTGGAAAGATATCCAGCAGAGGGATCACTGAGTCAAATGGAACCTCTAGTCCCAGCTTTGAGAGGTATATCCATATTGATTTCCATAGTGGTTGCACCAGTCTGCACTCCCATCAACAATGGAGAAAGGTTCCTTTCTCCCCACAACTCCGCCAACATTTGTTATTGGTTGATTTCTTGATAGCAGCCACTCTGTGGGGTGAGGTGAAATCTCAGTGATGTTTTCATCTGCATCTCTTGAATGACCAGTGATGTGGAACATTTTTTCATATATTTACTTGTTGCTTTTACTTCTGAGAAAGGTCTGTTCATTTCAGATGCCCATTTCTGAATGGGTCTTTATATTTGGGGGGCTGATTTTTAAAAATTATCTACATATTCTAAATAATAGTCCTTTGTCTGAGGAGCAGCTGGTAAATTTTTTTCCCACATTGTAGGTTGTCTTTTAGTTCTGTTCATAGATTCTTTTGCAATGCAGAAGCTTTTTAATACGATGAGATCTCAACTGTTGATTCTTTCTGCTAGTTCCCGTGCTACTGAGGATTTGTTCATAAAGTCTTTTCCTATGCCAATGTCTTCAAGAGTTCTGCCTAACTTATCTTCCGGCACGTTTAGTGACTCTTTTTTTAATATTTAGATCTTTAATCCACTTGGATTTTAGTTTAGTGCATGGTGAAAGATAAGGCTCTAGTTTTAATCTTTGGCAGGTTGAAATCCAGTTTTTCCAACACCATTTATTAAAGAGGCTTTCTTTCCTCCACTAAAGAAAGTTGTCTCCTTTATCAAAGATGAGGTAGCTGAGTACACCTGGAGTTGTTTTTGTATCCTCCAATGTATTCCACTGATCCTCAGGTCTGTTTCTTTGCCAGTACCATGCTGTTTTTATCACAGTGGCTTTGCAGTATAGTTTCAAGTTGGGAATTGCTATACCCGCTGCCATGTCTGTTGCATAGGATGGCTTATGCTATTCTAGGTCTTTTCTGTTTCTAAATGAATTCTTGGATTTTTTTCTGTACTTCTATGAAATGTAGTATGGAAATTTAAATCAGCATTGCATTGAATCTGTATAGCAGTTTTGGTAGTATGGCCATTTTCACTATGTTGATTCTTCCTACCCAGGAGCAGGGGATATCTTTCCATTTTCTTATATCCTCTTCAATCTCTTTTTTCAGACTGCTGTAGAGGTTTTTTGCTTCTTCTATTAGATTGATTCCTAGATACTTCATTTTTTTGGATGCTGTTGTGAAAGGAATTGTTTCCCTAATTTCTGTCTCAGTGAGTCTGTTACTTGTGTGCAAGAAGGCTATTGATAAAATTTTGAGTGTTGACCTTGAATCCAGCTACTCTGCTGAAAGTGTCAATTAAGTCTAGAAGTCTTTTGGTGGAATTTTTGGGGTCTTCAATGTAGAGTATCATATCATCAGCAAATAATGACAGTTTAATTTCTTCCTTTCCTATCTTTATTGCTGTGATTTCTTTCTCTTGTCTAATTGCTGTGGCTAATGTTTCCAGAACTAAGTTGAAGAGGAGTGGTGATAGTGGGCATCCTTGTCTTTTTCCTGATTTTAAGTGAAGCTTTTCAGTTTTGTGCCACTTAATATGATGTTGGCTGTTGGCTTTTCATAGATAGCCTTTAGTAAGTTGAGATATAGACCATCTATTCCAATTTTTGCAGGGTTTTTATCATGAATGGGTGTTGAATTTTGTCAAATGCTTTTTCTGCATCTATCGAGAGGATCATACGGTTTTTGTATTGACTCTGTTAATATAGTGTATTACATTTATTGATTTACATATGTTGAACCATCCTGGCATCCCTAGAATAAATCCAACTTGGTCAGGATGTATAATTTTCTTGATGATCCTCTGTATTCTGTTTGCTAGTATCTTATTGAGGATTTTTGCTTCTATATTCATTAAGGAGATTGGCCTGTACTTCTCTCTTTTAGTTGGGGCTTTCCCTGGTTTGGGAATCAAAGCTATACTTGCTTCAAGAATGAATTTGGAAGTATTGCTTCTCTTTCAATTTGCTTGAAAATTTTAAACAGTTGTGGCAGTAGTTCTTCTCCAAATGTCTTACATAATTCAGAAGTGAAGCCATCAGGACTTGGGCTTTTCTTCATTGGTAAACTTTTAACTACATTTTCAATTTCACTGATTGTAATTGGGGTGTTTAGAATTTTTTTTTATCTTTTTCATTCAACTTTAGTAATTCATAAGTATCTAAAAATCTGTCCATTTCTTCTATTTTCCATTTTATTAGAGTACAGGTTCTCAAAGTAGGTATTGATGATCCTCTGGGTTTCTGTTGGATCTGTTGTGACTTCACTTTTTTCATTGCTAATTGTATGGATCTGAGCCTTTTCTTTCCTTTTTTTGATAAGGTTAGCTAAGGGTTCATCGATTCTATTTATTCTTTCAAAAAACCAACTCTTTGATTCATTGATTTTTGTATCATTTTCTTAGTCTCCATTGCATTGATTTCTGCTCTCATCTTTATAATTTCCTCTCTTGTACGAGCTTTGGGTTTTTCTTGCTCTTCTTTTTCTAGGAGTCTAAGATTCATCATTAGGTTGTTTATTTGAGCTCGCTCTATTTTCCTGGTGTGGGCATTCAATGCTATGAATTTTCCACGTACAACTGCTTTCCTTGTGTCCCATAGATTCCTGTGAGTTGTATTAGCATTATCATTTGTTTGTAAAAACTGCCTTAATTTCCTCTGTGACCCATTGATCAGTAGTGTTGTTTAATTTCCATGTGTTTGTGAAGTACCTACAGTTTCTTATGCTATCGATCTCTAGCTTAATTGCACTATGATCTGATAATATACAGGGAATAACTTCTATTCCTTTGCATTTATTCAAACCTTTCTATGAGCTAGTATGTGGTCTATCTTGGAGAATAACCTATGTTCAGCCAAAAAGAATGTATATTCTGATTTTGTGGGGTGGAACACTCTATAGTTGTCTATTAAGTCCATATGTTCAAAAGCATGAATTAGTTCTAGTATTTCATTTTTGAATTTTTGCCTAGATGATCTATTTGTGATAATGTGATATTTAGATCCCCTATTACAATTGTATTAGTTCTTATTTGGTTTTTCATGTTACTTACTATTTATCTGCTATAGTTGAGGGCATAATATTTAGTGCATATATATTTATGATTGTCTACTGTTCCTCTTGAATTGTTCCCTTTATAAGGATGTAGTGGCCTTGTCTCTTAATTCATTTTGGTTTCAAATTTACTTTGTCTGCGAATAAGATAGCTACCCCTAATCTTTTCTGGGCTCCTGTCCCATAGAGAATTATTTTACATCCTTTCACTTTCAGTCTATGAGCTACTCTTTTTCACTAGGTGTGTTTTTTGTATACAACATATTGTTGGATTTTGCTTCTTAATCCATTCTGGCAGTCTTTTGATTGATGAATTGAGGCCACTGATATTGCTGGTTGTAACTGATATGTACTGACTTATTATTGTTATGTTATTGTCCTTTTGTTG